TAGGCTTTGTGTCCAGTCCCATGGTTTTGTTTCACGTTCGCTTTCTGTTTCAAGATTCTCGTGTTTCACCCGCATATATCTGAGGACCCAGGCCCACTACCACTGGTGTTTAAGAGAGAACGGCGTGGAGTGTAGAAAAAATGAAGGTTCACCGTAAGCCGTAAAAGGAGGTGCAAGAATGCTAGTCTGCTCGGACTGGGATAATGATGGATATTGAATTGCAGCCGTCAGGGGTTCTTTTACATGTTCGCAATTTTTTTCCGTCTCACCCTAAAGATTAGATGCCAGTGGCGGATCTAGAAGCTGTGAATTGGGGGGGAGTGGCGCTTTCAAATCTAGGGCGCCATCCATAATCCCACCCACAATAAATGTCAACAAAATATTGCCTCTAACACTAGGCGTCACGGTGGAACACATATAGATCGTATTGCCAATATAGTTTTTCGCAAATCGTTTTCTCGCCGGAAAGCAGTTTTATTCAAGTTGCTAGTAATTTTTTGAGAACCTTAGGGGCAGTGGCTATAACTTTGTGCAACCTGAAGCGGGGGGGGGGGGGGTGCATTTAAGTTCAATGATGTGATCAAATTCTTGTGAACAAGAGGATACGAAATGGGAGGCATGCCTGTCAATTTCGCCTGTTTTGTGATAGTTGACAGATCATTTGTACAGTCTGTTGCCCAGTAGTACTACTAATTGGGCGGTTCACTATAACCATGAATATGATAGTGGTAAGATAGTATAAGACCAAAGAGGTGTGGAAGAATGATGACATGATGGAATCAAGCGCCGAAGTCGCGAAAACATTTCAGATAACGACGTATGTAACTGAGCTTTTCATTTTTTGGAACTGGGACTGGGCCCGAGGGGACTTTGTCTCACGGGGGGCGCTTAATTGGTTTCATGGGGGTGGGGACCGGTCCCCCCCCACCACCCCCTTAAATCCGCTTCTGCTAAATGCCGTTCCTTACACAAAAGATCCGGGATCCAACCCGGGACCGCCAGGTTATCGAGCCAGCGCCTTACTCACTGAGCCACAGTGGCTCTCGCAAATAATAGAAGGATATAGCTTGTTAGGTCTTGGGTTCGGATTCCGAGTACCAAACGAAACGTCGTACATTCATAAAAATGGATTCAGGGCGGGAACCTTAGGAACCGAGCATGACGTTATCGCGGCCATATTGGAATTGTGACGACATATTTGAATTAGTGGGGTCTTGGGTCTTAGATTTTTTTCGAAGAGAATGCCCCCCGCAACCAACAAGAAGAAGAATAAGAATAACACGAAGAGCAACGCTGGGGGACGAGTTCCGAGTCGAAAATTACCCCATTTTTGGCTCGTTACATTGACAGTCCTCTGATAGAATTTCGTCCCGACGGACCGGTAATGAAAAAAATAACGAGAACAGTAACCATGAAACATATCCTTATATGTCATTTTAATCATTTAATATTCATCTTATTACAAAACATGTAAATACAACTAAATGACCTAACATAATGTTAACACAATAGGCCTGATATAATGTTAACAAAACAGACCTAGCAAAATGTTAACACGATAGGCCTAACATAATGTCAACAAAATAGGTCTAACATGATGTTAACACAATGCGCCCAACATGATGTTAATACGTTAGGTCTAACACACTGTTAACGCAATGGCCCTAACACAATAGGTCTAACATAATGTTAACACAATAGGTTTAACATAATGTTAACACAACAGGTCTAACATAATGTTAACAAAATAGGCCTAACGTAAAACGATTTTACAAGATGGATGATAAAATGAAACGAAATAGGGTTTAACGTTCTATGTTCTGCACCGACTGGGATAATAAAGACGGGCATAACCCATAAAGTGTTCTATAAGCGCTATACCGCACTATAAGCACTTATATCGAATTCCAACTGCCAAGTGTTAGTTTACGTCTCATAAATTCGATATAAGAGTAGGCCGTAGTGCCGCTGTCCGGGCAGAATTTCCCTCATAGCACACTGTATGGCGTATGCCCGTCTTCATTAGCCCGGTTCGGAGCAGAACTGTAGGACGTTAAACCCCATTTCATTTCATTTCATTTCTCTGTCCTGCACCATTGACAAGGGGGACCAACGCTGGAAAATCGTGGCGAACTTTCTCGGAAGACACAGGGATCGAACATGGTACCCCAGGTTAATGAGCCAACGTCATACTCACTGATCTACCGTGGTCCATGAATAATAAACACTAAATACATATGTAATGTAATAAAATAAATGGGTTATTTAAATATAACTATAGATGAACAGAGAAATGATAAATTATTCCTTAAAAACATACATAGGCATATTCTTAAATTAAGTTTACTAATAAAAACTCGTTTCTGTCTGTTCAAATGTAAAATATACCGTTGCCGGTAACGGATACACGCCAACGGGCAGCTATGGAAAAGTGACAACCAGGAACCATTGGCATTGACGGAGCGGACAGGGGTGATGGTAATATACAAAGATAGGTTGCCAGGCAACGAAACATACGCCCACAGCAGCTTAATCGTCCGGCAGTCAACAAGAGTTTCGCATATTTTTACCCTGTCGGTAATGAAACGTTTATAATACACTAAAATCTGATTAAGAGTAACAACTCATTAAAGTAATTATCAGACAAACATAAGAATTTGTTTGGCCCATGCTAACCTTTAGTTTACAAAACATTTAATATCATGGATTTAGCTGTTCAAGTTATCAAAAATCATTGAAAATCAATATACTTATTCGCCTCAAGACCTTTAAAAACTCTATATCAATTTAAAGGCAATCGAAACGATCATACATAGGCGTAAACACGGTGTATAAAGCATCCACAAGATTAATTATATGAAATCGTTGAAGATAAATAGGCTTCTTCGTCTCATAACCTTAAACACTGTGTATAAATTTAAAGTCAATCAGACATTAACTTGAGCCTCTAGAGCGTCCATAAGCAATTGTGGACGCCGGACCGGCGGGGGCGACGACAATATACGACCACATTTCAATGTGGGCGTATAAAAACAAAATAGGGGCGTATATAAACTAAATATATGCGAATATAAACTAAATATATGCGTATATAAACTAAATATGGGTGTATATAAACTAAATATGGGAGTATACAGACAAAATATGGGCGTATACAATCTAAATGTGGGCGTATAAAAACAAAATATGGCCGTATAAAAACTAAAGTGGGCGCATAAAATCAAATTTGGGCGTATACAAACTAAATGTGGGCGTATAAAATATGGGCGTATAACGTTATTATCAGCTGTTTTGTTACAATACTAACATATGACCACTACATGTACATGTATTTTTGGAATGCAATTATTTACATTTTAATTACTCATTGCTGTTGAAATCTTACATTACCATGCCTGCCAATTACGTCATGATTACATTCCATTTCCCTTATCCATTACCCTGTGGCAATCACTGTTCGACCATAATGCCAACGCATTTATAACAATTAAGTATTTTAAAAAAGGCACAAATTACGAAGCATCTACGGGATAATGAACATAAAATGCCCAGTAAATTATATTTAAAATGGTGAAACTTGATGGAAAAACGACGCGGGCTACTTTATCCATGTTACGAGCCCGGACAAAAGGCCTTTTAAAATCGATGTCCTCTTTATCCTGAAAAACAGAAAGAGATTGATTAAAGATGCATTGTGTAAGAATTTACCCCTGTCAGTGGTGCAGGACGGAGGGTCTGGCAAGGGATAATGTAAAACGTTCAGATGTGACGAAAAAACGAGGCCTCGGGTACACATTTGCGTACAGGTAAAAGAACCCTTGACAGTTTGACAGGGCAAAATTTCCATCAAGCACACAGTATGCCAGATGCCCGTCTTCATTAGCCCAGTCGGTGCAGAACAGTAGGAATTTGAACCCCATTTTTTCATTTTTTTTTTTTTTTTTTTTTAATAAACAATATTTTTATTCAGGATGTCTGAATGGGATTGGGGAACAGACTTAGCCTATGTAAAACCCCTCTCCCTAAATAATATACATACATAGTATTAAAACAAAGGAACAAAATGGGTGTATATACACAGTTAAAATGTCAAATACATACATATATAAGTGTAAATACATATATAAGGAGATGGATTGGAATGTACAACATATACTATATGTTACATTGTTACGTAAATTTGAAATTAATATTGTAACCGTTCTTATTATAATAGTCCAAAAATAGAATATGAAATTTTCAAATTACTTTATTCTCAGCGAAGTTATAAATATTTGAAGTTTTGACGAGATAATTTCGATTGTCAAGTAGCATTGTAACGATAATAAACAAAGTTTCGAATCTTTAAAATTGTACGGAACAAACGCCCGATCAAGGGTCATAACTCTGGTAGTAATTATAGGAAATCGTTGGATATTAACAGGCGTCTTCGTCCCATGACTTTGAATATTGTGTTTAAATTGTAAGTCAATCTGATATTAAAGATTAGATAAAGAGCTGACAGTTCTCGCAATAATAGTTAAAAAAATAGATAATGTAACGGGGATATGCTGAAAATTTCAGTCAAATTACTTCACTCGGAGCCGATAAATTCTCATTTTAATAACACTGTAGCCTCTATTGTCACTGTTACCGTTGTGACGATAACAAAGTCTCGATTATCCGCTTTTTACGGTTAATCATCAACGACCGTTGAACAGTTGATCGGATTGAAATCTAATGAAAATCAGACCAGTCAGATGGCATCGAAAGTTGATTGTAGTCTTGTCATGTCAATATATGTCTAATTAACAGTTTATATAACATTTCAGGCCTAATATATGTTTAACGTTAACCTCCAATGCATCCACAAGCAAATGTGGACGCTGGGTGGACGGAAGAACGAACGGATGGGCCGGGAGACGGCAATATACGACCATATTTCAATGTGAGCGTATAAAAACTTATTGCGTGAGTTGTTGACGGGTTAGTAGAATATAAAAATAATAAGTCAAGCCCAATTAGAACCTTACCTGATCATTATCTAGTTTAGCTTTAAGTAACAAAAGTTGTTTAGTTCTTCTTCTGGTTACAACATTAACGTAAGCAAATTCTAACAGAGCAGCAAATACAAAAAATAAACACATGGCCATCCAGACGTCTATGGCTTTAATATACGACACTTTAGGTAAAGACGACTGAGCCCCAGAACTCTGTGTGGTCATAGTTAGCACTGTTAAAACACCCAGAGAGATTCGAGCCGGCACCGCCTCCACATCTATCCAAAATGATATCCACGATAGAATTACTATCATGATACTTGGTATATAAACCTGCACGATGAAATAGCCGATTGCTCGCCGTAGTTGAAAACTAGCTCTGATACAAGCAAAATTTTCTGAAAATATAACAGAAACATAGGATTTTGATTACAGAATATGAAGTCTGACGACAACCCCCGCCCTTGTCAGCAGTTGTCCCGTTTCTTCTCACATCCAAAGACTCCTGAAATACTGGGTATAAAGTCTTTAAAAAAATAGTTTGGGTTAAGTGGGGTGGGGGGACCACGGTGTCTCAGTGGGTAGGGGCTGGCTCACTAGCCACGCGGTTCCCGGGATGGTAAAGACGTCACTCGCAGACTCAGTTTAGTGGGCCAGAAATAGTCGGAACCGGGAAATGGCCTATACAGTGTTCCATTTTATTCAAATTTTCTGGCATAGATCTCAAGAACCCACCCATCGTAAGCTTTCAGCATCTCGGCGCTCGCCAATGCAACACTTCAATATGTAGGTATGAATTTTTTGCGAACCAACACACCCCACCCCACCCCCTTTCCTATACATGTACATTCAAGGCGCAGTATTGGATAGATACAAATCGATGAAATTTCGAATTAATTAAGATCTAAATGAATAAGTTTTGTACAATGAAGTGACACTTGCTAAGCTCGCATAAACAACTCACGGATAACATTAAATTGTTTTAGATAGATTCAAACATGGAACATTTATCTCTAATATATTAAGACATTTTTAAAGCTTGGTTTATAAACTGGACGACTTACTCTCAAATAAACTATGACATTCTTCTATATAATAACCTTCTATGAAAAATTGTGGGAGTTGTATTTCTGGTTGAATTGATATAGGTTTCACATCAGTCCAAGAAAACACCACGTTATCCGTACTATAAGCATCTGAAAATACACAACATTCGTTAAAGCATCTGAAAATACACAACATTCGTTAAAGCATCTGAAAATACACAACATTGGTGTGCACGTAAAAGAATCCTTGATAGTTGGAATTTGAAATAACAGTAGTAGGTCATAGTGCCGCTGTCCTGGAAAAATATCCGCCATAGTACACTGCATGACGTATGCCTGTCTTCATTAGTCCAGTCGGTGCAGAAAAGCAGAATGTTAAACCCCATTTCATTTCATTATACTACAAATGTGTACGTCACGTGCACACACTGACAGAAACAACGAGTCCAAGAATAGATATATATCAAGAGATACTTTTCAATCACACGCAGGTGGCCAAACTGTAATTCTCATCATGTGGCGGAGTGCGTGTTGCGTTAAGAGGGGTCATTTACCTTAGTTCATAAGTAAATTTATAGTAATTATAAAATCGACCGAGGGGTCATGTACCTTAATTCATAAGTAATTTTACAGTAGTTATAAAATCGACTGATTGTTCGTCTTCTCCAATTTTGCGAGGTGTATTCAAACCTGCTAATATCTTGATTATATTATAATACGTGTTAACTGGGGGCTATTCTTGGCGAATAAAAAGTAAAGTGGTAAATTAATTTAAACTTTTGACTTCTGGGAACATTAATTTCGAAATAAACTTTACCGTTTTAAAGTTGAAGTTGCCTTTCAAACAACAAGCTAGAGGGAATCGCCAAAGCTATAGTTCTAGTAGATTCGATAGGGAATGAAATAGGGATAGCCCTACCGACATGGGGAAAACCAAGAGCTTCAGTTCTAGTAGATTAGACATGGAATGAAATGGGGGTAGCCCTACCGTCATGGGGAAACCCAGAGATATAGTTCTAGTAGATTATACTGGAAATGAAATAGGGGTAACCCTACCGACATGGGGAAAAACTAGAGCTTTAGTTCTAGTAGATTAGACATGGAATGAAATGGGGGCAGCCCTACCGACATCGGGAAACCCGGAGCTATTGTTCTAGTAGATTAGACAGGGAATGTAATAGGGGTAACCCTACCGACATGGGGAAAGCCAGAGCTTTAGTTCTAGTAGATTAGACATAGAATGAAATGCGGAAAGGCCTGCCGACATGAGGAAAACCAAACAGGTGAATACTGAACAACTTGTTCGGATATACTATCGGGCCGAAACTTGGGCCTCCTTGTTTGTTAGCCGTCGACATATTCACTAGAGCAATACATTGCGTAATATATTGATACACCACTCGGACTAACATCCTCGTATCAATATATCTATCACCTTTAAAATGTCTTGTTTTGTTCTCGACCATTAAACCACACATAATGCCCTTGAAGATTGAAATACCAAAGTTTTACTTTACTTACAGCTTTGTAAAATCATTGGACACTCCTGGTAGTCTAGAGGGTATTCTACTAGGTTCATCTGACAGCCCAAGGTTAACGATAACCTGAAACAACAAAACAAACAGTTTTATTACACACTCACCTAAAATCCATCAGTAGTATTAAAGACAGATAAATAAAATGAAATGGGGTTTAGTGGCCTGCTGTACTATATCGATTCGGCTAATGAAGACCGGCATACGTCATACAGTGGGATATGGGGGCAATTTTGCCCAGACAGCAGCACTAAAATATGTTAACAGTATTAAAGAGAGATAAGATTCACGTGAAATCGAATATAATTCGTTCGATGCCCTCCACTGGAAATCGGGAGCCGTGGTGGCTTAGTAAGTAAGGCACTGGCTTGCTAACCAGGAAGTAAATGGTTCCTTGTTCCCGAGAACGTTCCCTGAGATTTTCCGGCGTGGTTTCCACGGTCTTTCAAGGACAAGGAATTGGTCTAGTGGTTAGGATGGGACGAAAAAACGAGGTCCTGTGTACACATTGGCGTGCACGTATAAGAACTCTCAAAACTTTAAATTTGAGATAGGAGTAGGCCCTCGACGTTGTCCCGGCAAAGTTTTCCTCATAGCACACTGTTTGGCATATGTCCGTCTTCATTAGTCCTGTCGGTGTAGAACAGTAGGACGTTAAACCCTCGTTCATTTCTCTTCATTTCATTTCATATCAATTAACGAAATTTATTGTGTTATTTACTTTAAGCTATAATTTATGGTTCCATTTTTATAAATATGTATAAGTCTATTTGGTACGGTGACGTTATGGAATGATGCGCGTTTCTCGTTCCTGAAAAACGTGTCGGGAACCCAGACATTATGTATTCTTCGGGTGTCTAATTCTAGCCAATCAGACCGGTTGTAGTCGGTAAACTGGAGTCGGTGGTCAACCCATTTCTGACGTAAATAGATGGTTAGGGAATACTCCTGAAATAAACAAATGATCAAATATATAAGCTGAATCTGAGCTTCAGATTTTATACATATACATATTAAGGATTTGTTCTATTATCCCCCTTTTCACCAGTTGTGGACTAACGGGCGAATGGTTTCTTTCCAGACTGACAGATGAAGCATAGTCTAGAAAACTAATATTCTGGACAAAGGGAACAAATTCTTCGAGAGTAGATCTCTGAATGACCGCCATACCCAAAACTTAGTACATTCTATTGTTATTCATACACACAACGATTAAATATATATTTTCAATTTATTAAACATGCATTATGCAAGAGCAAAATCTGCTTATTACAAGTCTTTCTTTAGGCCTGAAATGTTATCTAAATTATCAATTAGACATTAATTAACTTATCCAGACCATAATAAACTCTCGATGTCAAGGCTAGCCTTCGATGTTGGCTGGATTAGATTCCTATATGCCGCTTAACGGCCATTGATAATTAAATCAAAACAGTGGATAATCGAGACTATGCTGTTTATATTAATGATTTTAGTAATGGTGACCGAGACTATGCGAAAATTTCACCCGCTACGTTCTCGGCTCACATTGGATCAATTTGACTGAAATTTTCAGCAAATTACCTTTACACTATCTAGTTTTTAACTATTATAGCGAGAACTGCCATCTCTTTATCTTATCTCCCATAATGTATCTTTAAATGGAAGCGGAATAAATACTTCTCAAAACTATCGGCGTATGCTCAATGTTTTCGAGTAATATCGTCGATTTAGGACTTAAGATGTCGGTCAACTAGCTTCGTGTCTGTTCTCAAGCAGAACTAGTTGTAGACAGGATTGGTTGCATAAGTTTAGTATGGGTAACTATGTGCACAAGTTTGCCGTAGTCATGTTGCTATAGTCGGGTTGTCGGGTCATTCTTTACGTCAGCAACTGGCCATAATTGTTTATGTATGTCCAGCAATTATGTCATTCATTCCAATCTGGTTAAACCACAGATACTATTTAGTTTCGTTTTTTATAGTTCAAAATTTCGTTTTACTTGTCTGTACTACACTAGCAAATCAAATGGTCTGTTGGGGCGAGTTCTCGGCGTGTGGTGCACGGAACTGTGGACAGACCTTCGCAGCGAAGACAAAGCAAAATACCCACTTGAAACATCAACGCCGATTAGTTAACCAAATGTCTAACGTCATAGGGTCATAAGCCGTTCTCATGACCTCCGACACGACCTCCCATTACAACCGGTCAGATTGTCATGTAGTGGAGGCCATTAAAATTAAAAAAACCAAAAAAACCCCCAAAAAAACCCCAAAAACGAAACGAAATATAGATCTGTATTTCGATCAGATTGTTCTTCATTTGAGAATAGCCCAATCTGGGTTATGTTACTATTGAATTTATGTCCCCAGTTCCCAAAATCAATAGTATCATACGGAAAATGCATCATCAAATGAGAGCTATTTCGAGAATACGCTCTAATCTTAATACCGATGCTTGCCAGAGTGTTGTTAGAGCATTAGTAACATCGCACATGGACTATGCAAATTCTCTTCTATTAGGGGCACCAGAAACAGCTTTAAACAGACTACAAATAGCGCAAAACAATGCTGCACGTCTTATAACTAAAACATGAAAATTTGATCATATATCAGCTAAGTTACAGAATCTCCATTGGCTTCCAGTTCGAGCGAGGATTCAATTTAAAGCTCTTGTGAATGTGTTTAAATCAATTTATTCTGACACCGCACCCAGTTATTTAAAAGAACTCTTTGATTTCTATACTCCCCGGCGATCCAACCTTCGTTCTTCAAGTGATCGTAGCATATTGAGGATCCCCAAATATAATAAGCGTTCTGGTGAATATGCTTTCTCCGTCAGAGCAGCTAAAATGTGGACTGATCTTTCAAAAACTCTTCGAGAGTCCTCTTCCATCCAGAGCTTTAAGACTAACTTAAAAACATACTTATTTCAAAAATGTTTTTGAACTGTTTTGTTGTGAATGCGCTTAGAAATACTCATGTGTAATGAAGCGCTATATAAATCGAACAATAATAATAATAATATTTTAAGCTGAAACTGCCAAACAAGCTAAATGACCTATCTGTTTATATTTAGCCTTTGGTTCAAATATTTAATATCACGTATATCAACGGATCCCATGTGCAAGTGATCAAGGGCCATAACTCTGGCAGCAAGTAACGAAAATCGTTGAATAGGATTATTCGTCTCATGACCTTAAACAACGCGTGTAAAGCTGATCGGATGGTGAGTGGGGTGACGGGGGAAATGAAATGAAATGAAACTGGGTTTAACGTCCTACTGTTCTGCTCCGAACTGGGCTTATGGAGACGGGCATACGCCATGCAGTGGGCTATGAGGGAAATTTTGCCAGGACAGCGGCACTACTGCCTACTCTTATATCGAATTCGACCTGTCAAGGGATATTTTACGTGCACGCCAATGTGTACACGGGACATCGGTTTTTCGTCCCATCCGAACGACTAGACAGCTGTCCTTGTCAGGCCCTCCGTCCTGCATCACTGACAAGGGGGAACCACGCTGGAAAATCTGGATGAACTTTCTCGGCCAATGCAGGGATCGAACACCCGACCTCCAGGCTAGCCAATATACGACCACATTTTAATGGGCATATAAACACGATTACTGTGCTTTTGGGAAGCTGTTTAAACACATATTTTAGTCAGAATCAGATTTACCAAAGACCGCAAGATCTAGAGGTTATTCGGCCAAGGTGGTGTATAATATATTATCAGTGTAGAAGCATGGTGTCAGCGTCTGTATACTAAATGAAATGAACAATATTTCTCGTCGAAACACTTAAAAGTGTGTATTTTTTCGCATAAAGATTTATTATGAGAGACGTTTGTGACAGGAGAATTATTGACGGATACTTTTCCAACTCTATAATTTCACACTTCATCACCACACAATTGTTTCACTGAAAGCAACAGATCACACATTAGAGAATAATGGCCTTCAATTCATGAATATTCAAGAGATAGATAGAGAGAGAGAGAGAGAGAGAGAGGGGGGGGGGGGGTCGTATTAAACACCCACTCGACACAAACTAGCGGGAACCGAAGCCATGCCACATGACTCAGTGGGAGACCTTATGACCTAACGAGCACGAGTTAAACCATTCGGTCATTAAAACCCCTTATTCAAGTGAGAGAGAGAGAGAGAAATGGGGTTTAACGTCCACTCGACACAAACTAGATCATTTCGGGACTAACATATGGTTTAATTTTATTTACATAATTCGCTTGCGCGTAGGGGTCTTTAGCAGTGGGAGGAAACCGGTTCAAGTGAGAGAGAGAGAGAGAGAGAGAGAGAGAGAGCTTAACGTCCTCGACACAGGCCAGGTCATTTTCCCCGACTACAATCTAATTCCAATAAATTGCTGGCGCGTAGGGGTCTTAAGCAGTGGTGGTGGTTGGAGTGGGGGATGGGGGTTGTTGGGAAGAAATCACTTCAGCTTGTAATTTCTAACCACCAGATGCTCCCATACTATGATTTTGATTGAAAACTTCCAACCCTCACCTTAGCCCCTTTTTTTTTGTTTTTCCCTGGCCCTCTCGCGGATGAATTCTTAACACTTTGAATTCAATTGCTGTCTGGGCACAATTTTCCTTATAGCACACTGTATGGCGTAATCCCGGGCGGTGCAGTAAAGTAGGTCTTTAAACCCCATCTCATTTCATTTCAGATGCTACCCAGGCAAATGCATGGCGTATACCCGCCTTCATTATCCCGGTTGGTGGAGAAAAGCAGGACGTTAAACCCCATTTCATTTTATTTAATTTGTTACCCGGGAAAATTTCCCTCATACCATTATGTATATCCGTCTTCATTTGCCCAGTTAATTTGTTGGCGCAGAAAAGTTGGGCGTTATACCCCGGTGCCTCAATCAGGCGGATATAATAATTGTCAACAGAGGATATAAAAGAGTTTGTTATCAAACTATTATATCATACGTTACATTAACTATTCATGGAGGGATTCGGGAGAACAAGAGAAAACACACGAGTTACATTAACTATTCATGGACACACAGTTGATAATAAAGATAAACAAATACCTCTAAATACAAACACGGTCCCACCAACTCCCATTCAAACAATATAAATATTTTTATATACAGAGGAGCTACGGTGGCTTAGTGAGTAAGACGTTGGCTCGCTAACCTGGAGGTGCCTTGTTCGATCATTGTGTTAGCTGAGAACGTCGATCGGAATAGCCCGGCGTGATGTCACTGGTGCAGGACAGAGGGCCTGGCAAAGGACAACGTATAGTCGTTCGGATTGGAAGAAAAACCGAGATACACATTGGCGTGCCGTGAAAGAACCCATGCCAGGTGGAATTCGAAATTTTGTTTGGGCAGCGGCGCTACGGCCTAAACTTATATAGAATTCCAACTGCCAATGGTTCTTACACGTGCACGCTGATAGGTACGACCATACGTTCGCATCACCGACGGGGGGGGGGGGGGGGGGGTCATGCTGGAAACCACGATGAACTTTCTCGACCAACACCGGGATCGAACATGAGACCCACAGGTTAGCTGTCTATTGTCTTACTCTGGGCAAAATTTCCCTCTTGATTAGCAACAGTATAGGGCGTTAAATCCAATTTCATTTATTTCACTAAATTAGCGCCTAAAAATGTATTACTGTGGGACAAGGGTTTACCAAAGATATCCTCGATATAACCAAATTAAAACAACCGCTGGACGTAACGAAATTAAAACAACCGCTAGATGTAACGGTATTAGACCAACCGCTTTCCTACAAGTTTTACAGACTCCAAACAAAGTTTTGAAAAATTGCACCGAGAATTTTATAAAATCAAAATGTGAACGGAAAGATAACATGGCAAAACACATTCGGGATTTAAAATTACGATCAGGCGGACGTACTGCGAACGGACGGACGGACGACGGGCGATGTAACGAAAACACACGTTTACATTAAAAGTGGGTAATCAAATATTCTATAAAATCAAAATATGAACGGAAAGATAACATGGCAAAACACATTCGAGATTTGAAATTACAGTCAGACGGACGGACGACGGACGCACGTAACGACTACATAAGTTTACATCAAATGTGGGCAATAAAAAAACCATGTCAACCAAATTATCAGAATTTGAAGAAACGTTTGTTTTATGATAAGCAGGACGTCCTGAACCGACGTTTGCATATCCAGTGCTTTGGTCCTAAACTGTGAAAGTTCATTAAGGCGTTTAGCATTGAATCATTAGAAAACCATAATTAGAAATACATTTCAAATTAAAAAATTTGCACTATGCGTCTGTTTTTAATTTTAAATATGTTGAATCAATGATTAATATCCAGTTTATCACAGTTTTTTAGAATAAAAATCTGAAATAGCATAAGACTTTATACAAATATCTTAATGATGGATTTACAAGTTTAAATTACCATGGAAATGTCAATAGCTTTTAAATAATGACATTTAAATGAACGTGAAATGATTAATGGGACTATTATTTTGTCATTGAGCAATGTAATGGAATAAATTAAAAGAGTTTATTTGAAAATCGAATTATTTTTGTGGAATATTATTTGAATTTGAAAACATACGATGTAATAATCATTGAGTGGCTAATCTCCTCTAGTCGTTATGAAAGCAATCGATCTGTCCGATGAAATACCTCTAATAGGGTTTTTTTTTAAAAATACAACAGCGAGAATAAAGTTAGCTATCTTGAAGCGTTGGATAAATGACGGAGCTCCCACGCCGCTCAATCTAATAGGAATTTAAAAAACCCCAACAAAAAACAACAGCGAGAATAAAGTTAGCGATCTTAAAGCGTTGGATAAATGACGGAGCTCAATCTTCCTCTCTGAAGTGTTCCGTATAATGCATCAAATTCTATAGGGCGCCACGCTGGTTCGTTAACTATAGGAAGTCTCGGGTTCGCTCCGGTGTTAGCCAAGAAAGATCTTCGGGATTTTCCAGCGTGGTTGCCCTATGTAGGTGGTGAACGTAAAAGAACCCTTGACAGTTGGAATTTAAAATAAGAGCCCGGATAAAATTTTCCTCATAGCACACTGTATGCTACTGAGTTCCCCTGGACTCCGTCGATATCTTACTGGGTTCCCCAGGACACCGCCGATATATTACTGAGTTCCCGAGGACACCGTCGATATATTACCGAGTTCCCCAGGACACCATCGATATATTACTGAGTTCGACTGAAACCGTCGATATATTGCCGAGTTCCCTGGACACAGGATAAGAAAACATCAATTGACCCACCGAAATCTATAATGATTGAGGGGGGTTGGGTGGCCGAATGGTCAGCGCGGGCACGCTGCATCATCAGGTCTGTCATTAAGTCAACTGGCGTGGTTTCGATTCCTCGGTTGTACGTGACAATGAGTATGATGGCCTGTCCAACCTCGTGGGTTTTCTCCGGGTCTTCTGATTTCCTCCCACTGCTAAAAGTCCCCTATACGCGCAAGCGAATTATTGAAATAAAATTGAATTAAATGCTAGTCCCGAAATGACCTAGTTTGTGTCGAGTGGACGTTAAACCCCATTTCTCTCTCTATATATAATGCTTGATCATTTTAAGCATGGAAATGACCTAAAATGCTCGCAACCATTACTTTAGGTATATACGCGGATCTGTGTTAGTGGAATGAAGGTGAATTTATGTTAAACTACGTACCATGCCTGCTTCATTAACAGTGTCAAAACTCAACAAATATATCTGTAGTGTCACATTGGTAGGGTGATCTGAAAAAAAAAACCAAACCGGAAATGACGTGTCATACTGGATATCTAATCCACACTTACATCATTGTTTTGATTTTCTGAAGTTGTTTTGTAAGTAGATATAAACTAAATTTTATCTGCCTAGTATACTTAACGTCTGTGGTTAAGCGCAAAAATAGTCGCCGGTTATCCCGGGTGCAAATACCACAAGCAGTCGTTCAGGGGCTTATTAACAATACGGGAATGTTGACAACGTCTCTACAAGATAGGCCCCAGGGGCAAAGAATTTAATACTGGATTGATGGAAGAGGTTACAGGAGTGCTGCCTATCCATGGGTAACGGAAGTGCAATACGTGCCTTGACACGGGCGCTGACTAACCATGCTACGTACATGTTTAACGTTTCTTGCAAATAGCATACTCCCCTGGCCACCAAACGTTTATTCTCATATTAATGACATACTGAATCAATACCAACAAATAATATTCATGTATTATTTACAGCAAAAACGTATGGCCCTACATACGCATGCAAAGTCAAACGTTTCCTGTCTCGATGTGCTTGGGCCCCAATTTAAAAAAACCAAAACCTATGCACCTAGATGGCCACCCAAAGCCAAACGTTTATTGGTGTGCTTGGGCCCTATCTTCAGATAAATGTATTATACCCAGATAGCCATACAAAGCCAAACATTTTTTAATGTGCTTGTGTCCTATCTTGAAATAAACGTATATGCACCCAGGTGGCCATGCAAAACCAATGTTTCTTGATTTGCTTGGGCTCTATTTAAAAAGAAATGTATATGCCTATATCTTAATCGGTGCATGAAGATGTATATGGGTATATCTTAATTATCCACATGCAATCGGTGCATGTAAATTTATAGGGGAATATCTTAATTATCCCAAAATGTAATCGGTGCACGAAAATGAACAACTTAAACTACTATTTAAGAGTAAACCTACCTTGTTCATAGTCCGGTGGAATTCTTGGGTCGTATTTCGAAGGATCCAACAAATAATTCAACATCTCTCGTCTAGAAATATTCAAAATTAAACGATGGATGAGAAAATTTACCACGACATTAGAAACTCGTGGCGACAACTCGGTGAGTGTTCTATCCTGTGTTGGCTGAGATAGCTCATCCGGACTTTTCGGCGTGGCTCCCCCTTGTCAGAGGGCCTGGCAAGGAACAGCGTATAGTCTTTCGGATGGGACGAATTACTGGTGTACCTTATACACATTGTGTGCACGTAAAAAAAACCTTGACAGTTGGAATTCGATATAAGAGTGGGTCGAAGCGCCGCTGCCCTGGTATACTTTTCCTTCATACCACACAGTATGACGTCTGCCCGTCTTCATTACCCTAGTCGAAGCAGAACAGTAGGACGTTAAACTCCGTTTCATTTTTCTTGGGTTGGGAAGCAAATTATTTGTACTAATCCTTGACATTTCGTCCCATGGTGGCTCTATACAGTTTCGTTTATATATTCATTATGGCATTCTTCATTTCAAAACTAAACTATTTCCACTGAAGCAACAACTTACCTTGAAAATCTTGAAACATCGTCACCAAGTAATCCGCATAATCCCACCAGGAGCAAGAATAAACCTCGGCAAAATATGTCGATCATGGTTATCCTGGAAGCAGAGAATGTGTAGTTTCTCTATAAATCCGAGTGGTTTGTTTCTCTGGATTTAGTTATTTAACTGTAGATATCCACATTGAGCATCTGCAAGATACTTTTAATTCTCCTTTATTGCCAATAAGACTTCTTAGAGTCGAGGTTTCGTTCTGCATCAATGTTATATCCTTCGATAAGTTGAATTATTAGGTTCCTTTCGTTCACTGTCAAGTTTTTTTCGAGTCAAGATTTCGTTTCCCAGCAAAGAAATATCCTTTAATAAGTTAAATTATTAGACTCTTTTGTTCACTGACACGTTTTGTAATTTTGTGGCTAGTTTCTCAGGCGACAATATTCACCCAAGCTCTTCGCATTCTGATCAATATTATTGTTATCAATAGTAGCGATTACTCCGGCGTTTCTAATTTATTTCTCCCTGGAATACAAACAGAATCAATATCAATATAGATCAAAAGAAAAATATTTACTAATATTGCTAACGAGAGAGAGAGAGAGAGAGAGAGAGAGTGAATGTGTGTGTGTGTGTGTGGAGGGGGGGATGAGGGTTTAATGTGGCGTGGTTTCGATTCTTCGCTTGTACGTGACAAGGATTAGGGCTGTCTCTCCAACCTCGTGGTTTTCTCCAGGTCCTCCGGTTTTCCCCAACAACTAAAGACCTCTACGTGCACATGAAATAAACATGAACCATATTTTGATACCACAATGACCTAGTTTGTATAGAGTTGATGTTAAACCCCAATTCTTTCTCTATACCCGCAAATGGTTTAAATAAATGGGAAATGGGATCCGATGTTCTATAATAGTAAGCCTTCTATATCACGCTGAAACAAACCGTAAACAAGAAAACTAAGCACCATAAAATTGAAGGATGATACAGTTTTTGTTCACCTATCGTTTACAACCATACAATTAGTGCCCTTTAAAATAATTTTATTTGTTGGCATTACAGATAAAATATCGGAGCACGGGTGCGTGAAACACCGTCATAAGATATGACCTCATGCTAAAAAGTTTACACAGGATACTCCCACCTAAACCTAAAATACTACATTTTCTTATCTTCGCGTATTGGCTCTTCTTCGTGGTCGTATAATTATCGATGATTGATTAATCTCACCTTGAGATATATATGTAAACATTATTATTTATATCCACACCTGTCTTAGGATTCCTTTTTAAGACCATCAATCTCAACGAGAAAAACAACGAGGCGTATTATTGTTCTTCCTGGACAAATCGATAACATCCTAATAGATTGTACACATGACTTCTAGATGAAATGAGATAAAATACAAAAAATAGTTAAAAGGTAGTGACGTAACGTCTTCCTCTTCTGTTAGTGATATTGCAGAGAAATTATCTTATTTGTATTACCTTGGCGCACGCTGTTAAAAGCCCTTTTAAATATATTTACCGCTCACTAATAAACTGGACTAATTAATAACAGTAAAGAGATAACCAATAGTACTGTAATTTGCTTTATTATTAACTATACCGTTAGGATCGGCAAATGGAGGGGGGGGGGGGGCTGGTGGACTAGAGTGCCGCGCTTCGAGCTCTAGCTGGCCGGTCACCACTGACTTGCGGTTGTGGTTTTGATTCCTGGTGTTAGCGTATGGGGCTTGGAGAAAGAGGCGCCCTATCAACCTCTTGATCCCTGGTGTTAACGTATGGTGATTGTATCCGAGAGCACTAATTTCGATTTGAAGCATGTCTTGGAATTCCCTATCACAGATTACCCTTTGTCGATTGCCCATGGTGATGGCTCAATCATGAAAACGGCCAAAGCCAACCTTATGAACAAGCTGGAATCAATGCAAAATGGATTTACTCAAAATGAACTACCGCGAATTGATGTAACTGTGGTCGACGGAGGTCTATTACTACACTCATTTCTATCTGTCACGACAAGCATTGCATCATATGGAAGTCTTGCCAGAAATCTGCTGTCACATATCTACTCAAATGCCGGTAGTGAAATACATATGCTCTTTGATACCTACGTGCAGTCATCAATCAAAAAGAGCAAAAGACGATTGAGGGGAGCAGAAGATCGTCCATTCGTGATTACTGGTCCTGAACAGTCACCTAAGCAAAGTGGACAGCAGTTGCTAAAGAACGGTATATTCAAAGATCAGTTGGCAATCTTTCTGATTGATGAATGGACGAAGAGTCATTATGTACCTATTCTTGGACCTAAAAGTCTAGTAGTTTCCCATGGAGGCAGATGCTTCCACTACACATTCAATGCTACGGAGGCCATTAGGAAGGTTGAACGCCCATTTCATCTCCAGAGTGTTCACGAAGAAGCTGATACACTTATCGCGTTCCATGTAGTTAATGTCAAGGGTCGCATATTGGTAAGGGCATCGGACACTGGTGTGCTTGTAATTCTGCTGGGGCTTCTAGAAAGACAGATGGGAAACGACAATTTGCCTAGTATCATAATGGACTGTGGTTCCGGTAATACTCAACGATATATTGACGTGAATTCGATTGCAACTGAATAAGAAGCAAAACAACCAGGATTGGCGACAATACAGTCAGGACTTCATGCGTTTACGGGTTGTGACTTTACGTCAGCGTTCTTCAGGAAGGGAAAGGTGAAGCCGTTTGGTATACTCCAGGGAGATAATGAGGGAAACTTCATAGAATTCTTCAAACGATTGACTGCAGTAGAAAAGCCAGATGAGAAGAAGGGAGCACATTTTGTGTGTATGCTGTATGGCTTTAAAAACTTAGACAACGTTGATGAGGCAAGACACACTAAACTTCTTCAAATGACTGGGAAAATAAACCAGGTATGTGTACTAAATAATAATCTCAAAGTGCGCCAACTTTCATGTATGTCCGGCAATCCTTGATTTCTTCCAGCCGCGAGAATCCAGTCTGATACTTTTAAATACTTATAAAGTTGATAATTCCACAGCATTATAGAAGTTCACCAAACCTCAGTCAAATATCTGACAAGGATCAATAAATACATCACTAGATTTTTCCTTTGTTGTAATAAGCAGTTTTTAATTTGAATTTGTTTCAGGATAACCCACATAAAAAAACGGACCGTACTTTACTTCCGCCATGTACTAAGACCTTGCGCAACAAGATACGTCCCGCTCACTACGTTGGCGTAATGTGGAGTGATGCCGACTCAACGAACCCAATTGATGGCATAGAACCTGCAAATTATGGATGGAAGATGAAAAATGGTTGCTTTGTTCCTGATTGGTTCGAGGGGCCAGCCATACCAATTAATCTTTTTCATGTCAGGGAAGAGACTGCGGATCGACAGGCAGTTGGCAATGTAGTAGTTGGGGCTGAATACGATGACGATTCCTCGACAGATTCAGCGTGGACTGACGATTCGTCCGAGAGCGATTCTGAAATTTGAACATTTTGAACTTGAGAGGGTCTGGTCATTTCAGACTCAGTAGGATGTACTCTTTCATTAAAACTGTTACATCGAATGCATCTTTTTTCAAGCCCCAGGGTCCATATTTAAGGTGTCAGTTTGGGTCGTCCCAGGGCCAAAATCGTCTGTTACGGGCAAGTTTGTACTTGTTGAGATGTACTCTTTCATTTAAATTTGGTTTTGACTGGTACCTCGAATGTATGAGTATAACTCAGTTATAGCCCTCCCCCCCCCCCGCCGCCCCTCAGCTTTAGGGTGCCAGTTTAGGCCATCCCAGGGGCCCAATCGGCTATTATGGGCAATTTCGTACTCAGTGGGATATGCTCTTTCGCTTAAAATTAGTTTCAACTGGTATCTCGAATGTATAATTATAACCCTTTTCTAAGTCTCGGGGGTCCATATTTAGGGTGTCAGTTATGGGCAATTTCGTACTCAGTGAGATGTACTCTTTCATTTAAAATTGGTTTCAGTCGGTACCTCGAATGTATGAGTATAGCCCATTTTGAGGGTCATTCTAGGGGTCACCAGGGCCACAACCATGGACTGGACCCCGGTAGACGCCCACTTCTGTGCATCCCAGGTTAATATGTAGATGTCTATATGGTCAGATATTGGTACCTCGTTCGTCTAGGTTCGACCCTCTGGGCTCCCGGTCTACTAGTCACCACTGGCTTGCCGTCGTGGTTATGATCCCTGGTGTTAGCGTATGGGGCTTGGGGATAGAGGTGCCTTATTAACCTCTTGATTTTACTCGGGATACTAGCTGGTCACCACTGGCTTGCCGTCGTGGTTTTGATCCCTGATGTTAGCGTTTGGGCGCCTTATCAAACTCTTGGTTTTACTCCGGATACTCCGGTTTCCCCCAACACGAAAGACCCCTGCGCGTGCGCTAAGATATTAAAAATAAACAAGTTGTCTGCGATATCGCAATTATAGGAAGCAGACGTTAAACACTAATAGAAGAAGGAACGTCATCTTTTGGATTAGTAGAATTAATATCTCCGAAAGAGTTGAGTAAGGTGTCAACAGGATACTAGCAGTATTTTCCTTTGGGTTTTCCTATTTTGGTTTAAAAAAATCCAGGATATAATTAATCTTCGTCACATCTGTATACTATAAATATTGTGGTGTAATTGTCGAGATATTTAGAGATATATATTTATGGTGGGTCACCCTATAAATGGTTATAACTTGTTAAATACAACATAACCGTTTATTTAGTGACCACTACTGTGAAAAAAATAAGTATATATATATATATATACATAAATTATCGTATAAATGTCGCTATGTTTGGAGATAGGTGCGACAGCACAGGTGCATACGTGTCAGTTGTCACAAATCTACTTCTATTAATTGGGTAGTAAATGTTATTAAATAAGTTTTCGTAAATATGAAATAAAATGGGGTTTAACAAGGAAGTGACGAACGCAAAATTAAAGATAGGTTGCCAGGAAACGAAACATACGCCCACAACAGCTAAATCGTCCGGGCAGTCAACAAGAGTTGTCGCATATTTTTACTTTTTTCGGTAATGAAACATTTATAATACACTCAAATCTCATAAAGTAATTATCAGATAACCATTAGAATTTGTTTGGTTTTTATAAAGTTCTGCAACATGCTAACGTTGTGTATACAAAACTTTAAATATCATGGATTTAGCTATTCAACTTTAAGTCCTAAAAATTCATTGAAAATCAATATACTTGTTCGTCTCAAGATCTTAAACTCTGTGTATCAATCTGAAGTCAATCGGATGATAACTTTAGCCTTTAGAGCGTCACAAAGTGATCAAGGGTCATAACTTTGGCAGTAATTATCGGAAATCGTTGAAAATCAATAGGATGCTTCGTCTCATGACCTTAAACATTGTGTATCAATTTAAAGTCAATCGGATATTAACTTTGGCCTTTAGAGCGTCCACAAGATTTTTTGAAGTGATCAAGAGCCATAACTCTGGTAGTAATTATCGGAAATCGCTGAAAATCAATAGGCTTCTT